GCTCTCCACCACTCGCATCACGGCGGCGGCTTGCATTTCGACGACCGCTTCTCCGACGAGCAGCTGGTGACCATGTCGGTGAGGGAACTCAACCGGCAGCTGCGCGGCGTCAGCAAGGAGGAGGTGATCCGGCTGAAACAGAAGAGGAGGACCCTCAAAAACCGGGGCTACGCGCAGTCCTGCCGCTTCAAGAGGGTCCAGCAGCGGCACGTCCTGGAGTCCGAGAAGAACCAGCTGCTGCAGCAAGTGGAGCACCTCAAACAGGAAATCTCCAGGCTGGTCCGGGAGAGGGACGCCTACAAGGAAAAATACGAGAAATTGGTCAGCAGCGGGTTCCGAGAAAACGGCTCCAGCAGCGACAACCCTTCCTCTCCAGAGTTTTTCATGTGAGTTGTGGTCTCTCCGCGCATCCCACCCACCCATCCACCCACCACCCCCTTTCCTCCCCGGCTACTTTCAGAACACGCACACGCAGACTCGCCGTGTCGGACACACGTGCGCGCAAAGTTCTCCACGAGGCTGGGGGCGGGGGGCCCGCGGGGCAGCGCAGCGCCCTGAGCTGGGCCACCATGTTCACTGCTATGAGCAGCAGCAGCAGCAGCGGCAGCAGCAGCAGCATTTTTGTCCTAAAAAACAAACCACACACCAAGAACCTCAGGTTTTGTGTCTGTGTGTGAGTGCGTGCGTGCGTGCGTGCTTGTGTGTAAAGGTGGACTGACTCAATGGATAGCCAACCTCATACAAGTTTTTTTTAATTTTATCTTTTCCTGTGGGATTTTTTAAATTTTAATTTTTCCTGTGGGATTCTTGCTATGTGTGTGTGTTGGGGGTACTTTTTTAAAAAAAAATCCAGCTTCCCACCAGCTCAGTTCTTCATATGACGCTTTCTCAGCCTTTGAAAGGAAAGCTGCCATCCATACTATTTTTTTTTTACATTCATGAAGTGTTTTTTTTTTCTTTTAAGTTTGCTGTGCTCAGAAACAAATGAACAAAACACAGTTCCCCCTCCCCCGCCATCTGAGTTCTTCATAAGGGTTTTGAACTTTGAAAAATACCAGAATACAAAGAAACAAAAAAATTAAAGTTTAAGACTTCAGCTTGCTGAGTTCCATCTGTGGCTATGCCAAACCTAGAGAATATTTCTAGATCCAGTGGCTGGGACGCAGCCTTCCTGTGTTCACAATGTGAGTTTTGGCCTTAAGCTGCCAAGTGGTGAATCTTTTAGTCTGCCATTAGAATCCCATCCTCATCTCATGCATTATTGTGCTTGCTATTTTGTCTTAGCATCAATTAACCCTATAACTGTTTCAAAAGACTATGGGGAGGGGAAAAAAGACACATTGGTAAAAGCCCTGCATGCTGGACATGTATGGCATTTTTTTTCTTTTGCTTGGATATGGACTTCAGAGACTGTAATGGCATGACATTCATCCTTTTCAGTTGTATTGCCTCTCCACTTGCTTGAATTGAAAGCAAAACAGTGCAACCCTTTTGGTCTTCCTCTTCCCCATCCAAGTTTGCATCTGCTCTGGAAACTGCTTTGAGTTGCTCAGAACTTCAGACTTTTTAATCCATTGATACACCCCTTAAAACAAAAGCCAGAATGGATTGTGATTACCTTAATACGGCAAAACATAAAAAGAAAATGAACTTTAGAAAGAAGTTTTTAAACTTGTGCTTTAAAAAAGAAATTTACTTCCAATTGTGGGATTTTAAAATGATGCTGTTTCTTAAAGCAGTCTAAAATTTATTTTGGAATTATCTGCCCCATTTCTGTTTATGTTTTCTTCTTATTTTCCTTTTGCATTTGGTAATTGTCAATGTGCAATGCTATGAGTTCATGGTATATAATTTAATTCTAGCTTTTACTGTCTGTTAGCTCAGTTCAAATGTATGCTACAGATAAAGGAATGTTATAGGTAAATTCAAAAGAGTTAGGTCTGTTTAGATGTAGATCTCTCTCTCTCTCTCTCTCTCTCTCTCTCTCTCTCTCTCTCTTTTATGATGCACTAAATTGTTCACTGTTGTGATGTTGAAAGGGGATAGAATTTATGATGGGACTGTTTTTTTAAAAAAGTAGTTTATCCAGCATGTGATTGCAACTTAAGTATAAGTTGGGTATGTGTAGAGCTTGCTATGCCACTGACTGTATTTGGAAACCAAAGTATTAAAAGGGGAGCACCCCCATTTATATTAATAGGGGTATTTTGTGTTTAAAATGTATGGTTGGGGAGTTTTGTTTATGGGGGGGTGGAAATTAAAATATTTGGGACTGAATTGCACTAAGATATAACCTGAAGCATACAATATAAACCATTACAAACCTGTTTAGGATGCTAATACCGTTTATGCAGTTACAAAATGGCATTACTGCTCAGTTTTTTAAATGATACAGATTTTTTTACAGCTGTATTGTGGTGCAGAACTGGATTTTCTGTAACTTCACAAATTTGCAAGTTTTAAAGGCATTAATTAGAAAAAAATATTTTCAGGGACTGATAATCCTGTGTTTAAAAACAAAAACCAGAAAGGAAATCTTACCACAATAAATATAAAAAAATCTCATCAGTTACTTTTTTCCCCCTTTACATATTTTGCTGTGCAAAATTGTTTTATATTTTGAGTTACTAACTAACCATGTGTGATGTTCCCTATGTGCTTTTCTTTCATTTTTCAACTTTATGGTTATATCAAAAAGAAAGAATAATCTACTATAATAAACTGCATTTTTGATTCTGTACTCAGTTTCATTAGTTTGTAGCTTTAAAAAGGATCAAGTGATGTGCCTGAAAACAGTGTGTTTTGCCAGCTTGGGCAGCGATCTGCTGATACAGCTTCTGTGCATGGACAAGAGGGAATGTTAGAGGCATAGAGAAGGTTTGTTTAAGATGTAGGCAAGGTAGCATTTATTCCCCAAGAGCGCTTGCTTGTCTTACAGGTAGGTGAAAAGTGCAGCTTCCAGGTACTAACAGTGAATGCCTCATGTTTGGTGATGGTTTTGATAGGCCTTATGTGTTCCCTTTTCACTGTTGCCGAATCTCCTGGCCACATTTAAAAAGCTGCTTTTACAGTGTGATCCAATACCCCACCCGAGGCTCAGTAGTTTCAGGGCAGCCTGAAATGACAGGAGATACATTTGCATCCTACGAAAGCTGCGGAAC